CTGCACAGTTCCCAAAATACTGCAACAGGACTATGACTATAGTTATTGCCAGTGTTCCCTGTAAGCTGCGCAGTAGCACAGCTTCACAGGTGATTAATCGGTCCTGCCCAGTCAATCAGCTCCATGCACCAAGTCCTGAGCCTCTGACTGGGCGGGGCTGGTTCATCACCTGTAAAGCTGTGCGGCCATGCAGCTTACAGGGAATGCTGGTTATTATCATTTTAATTAATGGCATTAATTAATTTCAATGCCTTAAAATGGTGTTTATAGCTCAAAGCTACCCAAGGACACTATTACAAATTTTCATTGGTTTCATGTGAGTATTTTTTCCAGAAATGGTAAATCCATTTAACATGTAGCAAAAAGTCTGTGTATTGTGCAGTGTTGATTAGGAGAGGTATCCTGGATCCGGATGCAGTATATGGCTTCTTCAACCCAGTCAAGAAATCAGACATCAAAATATTTGCTAACATGCCCAAGACCACCAAATTTAAGTCTGGAAAGGAAAGGACGATCAGTCCAGAAATTGTTTTCCACAGATGCAGAAATGACGTTTCAGTGGTTCATAGTCATCCAATAGGACGTGTGTCTATGTCCTTCTTCCATGATGATGGAACAATGAGAAGAACAGAGAAAGCTGAATTAGGGCATCAGCTGGAAGTTCAATGTGAAAGAGTCCATGAGCTAATAGCATGCAACTAAGAAACCGCAGTGTACATCAGAGATACCACAGCTGCCATACAAATGATGGCTAGAGATACGTTTACATACAGTGAACTGGCTGCTGAATATAAGAGGCTAATCCTTAAGGCTACATCTACGCTGCATACTTCTTTCGGAATAAGCTATTCCATATTCCAAAATAAATTTTCGAAGTAGCATGTTCACACTACAGGGAAGCCTTTAAGAAACCGCAGTGTACATCAGAGATACCACAGCTGCCATACAAATGATGGCTAGAGATACGTTTACATACAGTGAACTGGCTGCTGAATATAAGAGGCTAATCCTTAAGGCTACATCTACGCTGCATACTTCTTTCGGAATAAGCTATTCCATATTCCAAAATAAATTTTCGAAGTAGCATGTTCACACTACAGGGAAGCCTTGGAGCTAGTCCAAGGTGGGCTTCCCTAACACAGAAGTGCTACCTCGATTTAGAGCTCGCAGGTAGCTTTGGGGAGTAATTACTTTGAATGGCCGAGGGGGAGGAACTATTTCAAAATAGCAGCAGGGGAGCGCCCACACTACTGCTATTCTGAAATAGCTATATCAGAAGAGATGCTATTTCTTGTGGAATGAAGTTTACAGAATCTGGATAAGCTGCCCGTTATTTCGATATTATTTTGAAATAATGGAATTGCTGTATAGACACTTGCAAAGTTATTTCCGAATAATGGACGTTATTCCGAAATAAAGTTGCTGTGTAAACGCACCCTAGTGGATTTAGCACAGCTATTTCTGTAACTGAAGTCTTTGACAGGTATGATAACAGTAACTCTGTGAAACTGTAGAAAGATAGTGCCAGTCAGGTTCTAAGGTTGGATGCAAGAAACACCAGGTGATTGGTGAATGCCCTGTGTCTCCAATGGAAAAAAGTGTCTGAAAATGGCATCCAGCAAGCAGCCGCTTCTCAGATTTCACTGTGAAGAAATGTTCAAAATGCACCTAAGAGTGTAGCAGCACAATGGATGCAAACATCCTTCTTCCTGGAGGCTTTTCAAGTGATGACATAGCAAAGTTCATCACTGGCAGAGGCGTTATAGGAGCCCAAGGCTTGAACTATACTCAAGAGGAAGATGACACATGGATGCTTCTGCAATATGGCTTGGGGGGGGCAGTGACAAAGGAACCCTACTATTTTAGTCAATAGCAAGGACCAAAACATCTGTATCAGTTGACCTATTTCCAGAAATGGAACACAGAGAAAGGTGCCTACAGGTTGGACCTCCCTTGTTCAGCACCCTCAGGACCTGACATCCTAAATGAAGGAATTTGTCAGATAAGGGGAGGTCCTCTGCCCTGCCACGGGCCTGCTCCGCTACGGCCCCACTGACATCGGGCTCCAGCCTGCAGGGGTTGGACTTGGGCTCCAGCCTATTGGGAGCTCCCTAGCTGCCGTGGCCCCACTTCTCCCCCGCCTGACCGAGGATCCCTGGGGACAGGGCTTGCCAGCTGCCCTGCTTTTGCCACTCACCAGTCCCGCTGCTGCCCTGCCAAGTCAGGGCTCCTCAAAAACGGGGCTCGCCAACCACCGCAGCCCCGCTTCTCCTCTGTCCAACCAGGAATCCCCAAGGACAGGGTTCACTGGTCCCATTGCTGCCGGACCTCAGCCAGGGCTCCATGGGAAAAGGGCTCGCCAGCCACTGTGGCCCCGCTTCTTCCCCCACTGAGCTGGGGATCCTGTGGGATGGGGCTCACCAGTCCTGCTGCCATCCAGCCTGGCCAAGGCTCCCTGGGGATGGAGCTTCCAGCCGCCAGGGCCCTGCTCCTCCTCAACCAGACCGGGGCTCCCTGGGGATAGGGTTTGCACTTCCAGGCACTGGGGTTTGTTGATCCAGCGACATCCGTGGTCCTGAGAATCCCATATTTAGGAGGTTCAACCTGTATTTCAATCCACATCTTATCAGCACAACTGGTAAGGGTTGCTTCAGGCCTGTACGTGCATTTTTTGATGTACTCACCCCTGACTCTGCAACGTATTTCCTGCTGTCCACAAAATAAGAGGATGTGACTGTCATCCCTATTCAGTATTGGTGGAAAATAATCTGTAAATATTGTCATAACCAATAGAGCTTATCACTTCAAAGATCTTGCCAAATGGGAGAAAGTGACAGGCAAGCGACAATTTGTGCAGCAATGAAGTTGGTAGCAGAGCTAAATGACCAAAGAGAAGTGGCTAGATTTGTGCCTGAAACTGCCTCAAACTAGCCACTAAAAAGAACAAGTCGCTGGTCAAACTCTCGCCATATGAGAATAGTTTTGATAAGCACATCAGAAAAGCATTTTAAAGAAGCTTTGGATGTCTTTGAACATAGGGAAGCCAGATACTGGTTCACCGCTGCAACATGGATAGAAAAATGTGGATGATGAAATACTTTTCCAGGTTTGTCAAGGGCCCAGTGGTATCTAAGCTTCTACAAGACCTTTTGTGAATGCACCAGGGGAAGTCACTGCACAACCAACTTAGTTTTCAACACAATCTTCCCTGCACAGAATGCAAAAGAGTGTGTGGGTTACCACAATCTCCAAACAGAGATCATAGTGATGAAAGATACAATGGTAATGAGGTAGAGTAGACACAACACCAGTGCTGTGACATGTCAGTGACACCTGTAAATAGGTATTAGATTGTTTTAACCTTTAGCCGATTGTTGTCATGCTTTGCCATCATTAAACTCACAAATACAAATATTTCAAAGTGGCCATTTTAACATGTTGATGGTGTCCTTGTTTATCTCTGTTTCTAGGATAATGGCCCCTTGTGACAGCTCTACATCAGACCTCCTCTTAAAGTAGCTTTCAAATGCTGGATGATCTGTGTGTGTTTAGAGAAGGCAGATTAAGTCATCCAATGTCAGCAACATCTGCCGCAATCTATTACTAAGTCAGTGGTGCGCAACCTTTTTTCATCTGCGATCCCCATGAGGGCCACCAAATTTGGTTGAGGGAAAAAAAAAAAGGAAGTGGCCCCTTTAATTGTCTGGCCACTCTCTCCTGCCACTCCTCCATCCCCGCCGCATGTACGTCGGGCGCTGAGCCGGGAAGCCAGGAAAGCGGCCGGCTGGATCCAAGAGCTGCGACCCTCCCCCAGGAAGGTCCATGGGTTGCACACCACTGCTCTAAGTCACTGATCCTGAGATTGGGTCGACACAGATGGACACTTGTAGCTGCATAAAGCTCGGCATGAATCTACTTGTGAATATCCAATCTCAGCATGAGGGACTAAGTAGTGACATTACAAAGTCTAACAAAGGAGAAGGCAATAAGAAGGAGTTTTATGATCAGGGTTACCAAAGACTTCTAGTCTAATTCAAACAGGTCTGGACTTGAGGGAGGGGAAGGTGAGGACAAAGAGCTACAACACACACTTTCCTATAACAGAAACATAAAAAGCTCCAATACTAACCCTTAAAAGAAAAGAAAAAAAAATCTCACCAGCAAAGATGATACAAGCCCCTCACTTGTGAAATGTAAAGCAAAAAACTGGAAAGAAAAATTAGGGAATAACCTGTAGGAAAATCCTATATTGTCCACAGAATAGATTAGATGACTCACCAGATCAAACTACAAGAATTTGTGAAACAGAATGAAATTGGGTAGTTATGCGAGTCACAAGCTCTGCTCAAATAACCAGCATGTTATGTTAGAACACAATACATGTAGGCTATGTCTAGACTACATTCCTTTTTCGTAAAAGGGATGTAAATTAGACGTATCACAATTGCTAATGAAGCGGGGATTTAAATCTCCCCCGCTTCATTAGTTGCAAAGGGAGGGGAAGGGAAATCCAACCGCTCTCTGCTCAAACACAAAGACGCCCTTCCCTAGATAGGACAGATCCCCTCTCTTTACAGTTAATGGGCTAAGTGATCTTAACTGCAGGATAAATTCCCTCTTATTTCAAGAGGGATAAGGGATCTTTTGTAAAAGGCTTTATTTTCCGCAAGATCAGCATCTAGACTGGCGCTTTTTTCCGGCGAAGCTCCGTGCCGAATAAAAGCGGCAGCCATTTATATGCTAATGAAGCGGGGGAGATTTAAATCCCCGTTTCATTAGCAATTGCGATACGTCTAATTTGCATCCCTTTTACGAAAAAGGGATGCAATCTAGACGTAGCTGTACATATTTATATTGCACTCCTCACAGAACTCTCTGTGTGCTGCTGGAATAATGTAAACCAAAGTATAATGCTACTCTGGACTGAATAGTGCAGGTTAAATGGTTCACATTTAATTAAAAAAAAAGAACACATCATTATCCACATTTTAAAAACTTACATTTCCAAAAGCTCCTCATGCTTTTTGTTATCCTTTCCCCAAATCTCAATGTCCAACATATCCTTCCTGTCAGGGAAGTAGTGAAAATCAAACTGTTCCCTCCACTGAGGATTTGCACTCTTACACAGTGTCTAGAAAACATGCAGTTATAATGTTTACTTTTCTCAAATGACACTTATTTCCACAGTTATGTATACATCAATTTCATCTACAAGGATAAGGCCTGAAGGTGGGGCATCAGATACCAAGAGGAGAATCCACAGTTGAGGTCTGCAATCTGTCATGCAGATTTGCATTTCTCTTAAAGGTATTTTCTTCCCCATAATGATAAATAGAAAAGCATGGATGTGAATGTGTGGCAGGAGAAATGCTCATATAAGGAAGTAGAACCACCATGTCCAGTTGAAATAGACCACAGGACTAGTTCAATGTCACTTCTATTGAATAAATCAGACGCAAGCCCTTGGAAGTCAGTGAGATTCAACAGGTTTAAATGAGATCAGAATCAGGTCCCAGGTTTTCATTCTTTTATGTAAATACACAGGGACCTTAGCAAGATGGGAATATGCAGTTAGGATATGCTCTTGTAAACCCTTAGGGTTCATCTAGACAGCCACGCTATGTCAGGATACTTCTGGTATCCCGGAATAGCGTTTTCTGTGTCTTAACTGCATTTCAAAATAACAGGCGTGCTATCGAAATAACGGACTTGCTATTCCAATATCCCGGTACGGTTCCACAAGAATTAAGGGACTTGTCAGAACAGTGGTCTCTCAAATAAGTTTGAAATAAACTACACAATTTGTGTAGCTCCAATCGCATAGCTTATTTTGAGCTAGCGCCGCTGGGTAGATGCACCTTCACACACACACACACCCACCCACCCCTTTATGCATGCAAATAGTTCCTTTGAGTTCAGTGAGACTATTCACATGCAGAAATTTACACAGGAACATGAGTGTATGCAGGATAAGAACCTTAATTGCTTGTGATACACAATAGATTAGATTATATTGGAAGTACACCAGCAGGCCTTCTATATGTGCACTGGCCATTACAAGAGACAGGATACTGGATTAGCTGCACCACTGCTAGTGTTTATCCTTTTTTGTCTGTTGTGTGATTGAATAAGGGTAAGTGGAACAATCCCCATAAAAGGATGTGAATCATTTTCAATTTTAATATTTATTAGGATGTTAGAGATAAACAGAAAAGTGCATCCTAGATGGAAAGAAGGCATCTTAACTATAAAGATTAAGAGAGCTGTTTGTTATTTTTTTTAAACTATTTTTTAAATGAAACAGGGTCATGTGCTGTTCCCCTTTGGTTAGAATTATATTAACGACAATCACAAGATGACCACGTTTTGTGGACACTCTGTAGTAAGCTCACCAGAACTTCTTTTTAGAATTATCAGATCCTGTCTAGCATATCTAGCTCATCTGTTTGCATTAAGAGGGTTTTGTTTTTAACTGTGTTTCCCCCAGTTTTAGAATGAAAGGGTAAAGCCCAATGGAACTCCATTCAAACTATGGACTACAGGGGAACTGTACAGGATGCAAGTAAACATTAATTCTGGCCCTGCTCTAGGAAGAGCACAATGTAGAACAAGCTCTGGACAGCAACACTGGAAATTTCACAGTTTTTTTAAAAAATATTAAATATGAATAGTCCTTAAAAGCCAATGAACGTTTTTAAAGAGTCAAGGCACAGATTTTTAGGGTCTGTCCTCTATAGCGCACTGAACATTACAAAATGACTTCTGTATTGGCAGAGAACAAAACCATGTGTTATGCATGAATATGGTTTCATTATATATTAGTGCTGCATATCCATCACTGTGAAGCGTGTATTTTACATATATAAACACACAACGTATTCGCTATTTCCCATTCTGCAGATAAATGTACATATGAGGAAAAGGTTCATAAAAAAAATCTAAACTCCCTGAACCTGATTTTGATCTCACTTACACTTCTATAAATCAGGAATCATTCCACTGAATAAAGAGTCTCAGTGGTGTAAAGAAAAAAAAACAAAAACAAAACATCTTTTATTTGCCCAACTTGCACACTTATAGCAATTGTCAACACTTACCTTACTCTTATATTTTTGATCTCCTAGTTTCAACAAGACAAAAATCTGTGTCATGCCCCTTCCTGGGATATTCTTCCCTTCTAATAAAGTGATAGTCACAATCCCATTCCATAGCTCGTTCCTTTGCATGATGGAATCAGACAGTCGCATATTTCGTGTAAAACTTGTCTGAAAAACAAGTTGACTTCATGAAGATACCATTAGATACATCTCTGAAGCACTTATATTCCAAGTGCCACAACCTCTAGTGTAGCCTCATATTACCTCTGGAGGTGGAGAATTAGTGTTATCCCTTTTTTTAATATATAGATGGTGAGCTGACAGACACTATATGATCTGCCCAATGATCACACAGGAAATTTGGTAAGGATGGGAACTGAGCATGGGTTTACTGATTCAAACCACCAGACTATTCTCTTCACCTGTTATGAGCCTATAGCACTTTGCTGGCTTATCTTTAGTATTTCTTGTTATCAGAATTCGGGCTTTTGGCTCAAAAATACTGATGCCTGCTGAAACATGATTACTGTTATCTGGTGGTTATACGGTACCTACACCATATATATATATAAACACACACTTCATCATGCAGTGGTACCTAACAGTAGAACATTGGTCATATTTTATTGGCAGTGGAAATGACTAAAGGGGCCTTTATTTTGGGGGCGAAGCAGAAAAAACTGGAAATTTAAGATGACCTCTTTCTTCTCAGGGTAGCATATGCCACATTTAAATTGCCATGCAACAATTTTTAACATGCCATGTATCTGTGCTTCATTTGTGACAAACCAGTGAGTCCAAAAGTTAGGAGGATCTTTCACTAATTGCATGAAAACAGGACGTATTAACTTTAAAAACCAACTATGAAATGTATCAGAGGGGTAGCTGTGTTAGTCTGAATCTGCAAAAGTGGTGAGGAGTCCTGTGGCACCTTATAGATTAACTGAAGTGTTGGAGCATAAGCTTTCGTGGGCAAAGACCCACTTCGTCAGATGCATGTAGTGGAGATTTCCAGAGGCAGGTATAAATATGCAGGCCAGAATCAGGCTGGAGATGACGAGGTGGATCCAATCAGGGAGGATGAGACCCACTTCTAGTAGCTGATCTGGAGGTGTGAATTCCAAGAGAGGAGAAGCTGCTTTTGTAAACAAAGACTGTGAATGGCTCGCTAACTACAAAAGCAGCTTCTCCTCTCTTGGAATTCACACCTCCAGATCAGCTACTAGAAGTGGGTCTCATCCTCCCTGATTGGATCCACCTCGTCATCTCCAGCCTGATTCTGGCCTGCATATTTATACCTGCCTCTGGAAATCTCCACTACATGCATCTGACGAAGTGGGTCTTTGCCCACGAAAGCTTATGCTCCAACACTTCAGTTAGTCTATAAAGGTGCCACAGAATTCCTCACCAACTATGAAATTGTGTCACTAAATAATAAGATGGCAAGAGCACCTCAGGCCTGGGAACAGCATTTTAAGGAAGAATTACACAGTAACAAAATGCTTAAGTCATGGGAGGCGCATACACACATTTTAACTTGATGTTTACTGGTTAAAATACCAAAATGTTTGAATCCCACATGCATATTAATATGCTTCTATTTAAAACGTACTGTTTGGCTTTCCTGGCACGCTGGATGAAAATTCCTACCTTTAAAAAGAAAATGAGATTTTGATTCATAAATCCAGCTGCAAAGCAATTTTTTTAAGTTCATCTTGTAGGCCAAAAAGCTAAAGCATGACTGTTCCCATGGACATACTTCAAAGTCCCAGCAGATATATTCCTCCCTAAACACTGCAACTATTTCAAAATCCTTTTTATAAAAAAGGGAGTAATGTCCACAAGGGATCAAAGGGCATCCTACAGTCTGGCAATTGCCTAAGAAAAATGGCAGTGCTTCCATGAAATATGCCCTAAAATAATTTTGTGGCTTGGTATGTCCTAATTTTGAATTGGATGTTTATCTTGGAAAGGCTTCTATCTAACTTGTCCATAAAACAGCTCCACTTAGCTCTACGAGCCCTGTGAAAATGGAATCCAACGCTGGCTATTAAAGGGGCCTAGAGATTGCTTCCATATGGCAGAACAGCATGGGAGTGGACGGCTAAGGCCTACAGCAGGCGTTGCTTGGCTTGAGCTCCCGATCTATCCATGGACACTCGTTGCATTACACCATAACATCTGGATTATTGCTTGTAATGTCCCTGGGAAATATCCACTTCCCATCAAAGCCTTTATCTATCTCAGTTGTACTTTGAACATTTTAGTATTTAACACAGTCATGTTTGATGTGATGTACTTGCTGCTTTAGGTCCAAGGATTCACCGCCCCCCCTCCCTTTCCTTGAAGGAGGGAGAAGGTTTTGAAGCTAGTTCACAAAAAACAGAGTAACTTTATTATCTGCAGTACATTTTGTTTTAAATTGAAATTTCCACTTAGCTAGTGTCTCCAGGCTCAGCAACAAAGAAAGTTATCATCACTTAAATTTTAAAAACAAATTTGGTGAGTCTTCTCATATGGATCCTTTCTGGTTTTGATCAGTTTAGTGTTTAATGGTGGCGGTCCAGGCCTATGGTCCTCTTAACCAGTATGTAAGTCCTCAGGGCAACATTCAGTATAAGATGAAGGGCTACAAAAGGCCCTATGCATGATTTCTTTAGCACCAGCCATGAGTAAGGGTACATCTAAACTCCACCGCATCCAAGGAACGTTTTGCTTTTCTGCCTTTCCCCGCCCCGAGGAAGAGCAAACACGCTCTTCGGGGAGCCCTGAATACCTTGTTCTATGAGGCATAAGGGCTCCTCCGAAAGCGGAGGCTTTTCCATTATTTGGCCCGGTCTAAATGGGGCCAAATGGAGGAAAAGCCTCTTTCGGAAAGGCGATCTAAAAAAGCGACACAAATTGGGGAGCGTAATTTGCATTGCTTTCTGCCAACCCCCCCCCCCAAAAAAAAACAAAAAAAACCCACCAAAACAAAAACAAAATAACACACCACACAAACCACCCCTATAATGTAGGCCTAGCCTAAGAGAGGAGATCTGAACATCAAACTCTGCTTCCTGGCTTATGGACTTTTCCAGCTCTGCTCCATCCCTGTCCACCTCCACAGGGGAGGGGGCAGGCCTGCTGATGGAGGAGAAGGGGAGAAAAGGAGGCCGTTGCTCCAGGGCCCAGCTATTCAAAGGAGCCTGAGGCTCCTGGCCTCCACCGCTGCTACTACAGCACCAGCTTGAGCCCCGGGCCCTTTAATTCACCTCCAGCATGCCTTGCGGCTCTGAGGATGGAGGGGGTGGGGCACCATGCTCTGGGCATGGCAGCAGGATGACTGTCCTGGCCCCACCTCTTCTGAGAGCACAGAGCAGCTCCTCCTCCTCCTCCTCCTCCTCCTCCTCCTCCTCCTCCTCCTCCTCCTCCACACACACACACACCTTGCCATGGGGCCTGCACAGGCCATCAGCTCCCCTGGGAGGGGGGCAGCAGCCCTCAGAAGGCTGCTCTACCCACCACAATGAAGGTGACTGGTTCAGGGGCCAATTCCAGTATTTGGAGTATTTGGGCTAGACTGTGGATATTTCCATGGGTCGAAGAGGACAGTTTGCACTTAGGCGAATGTCACCCCAAGGTAAGGAGGGACAGATATTTAATCATTCATTTTCAAATTATAATGATTTCATTAGAACTCTTCTCTCATGCTTGTCACCTAAGTGTTTCAAGGTGAATTACACAGTGTCGATGAAGTTAGCCTTGCATCATCCCCATGAGATCAGAAAGTATTACCTCCACACTACAGACAGGCAGAGAAAAGTTAAGCGATGCGCACAGGATCTCAAAGCAAATCAGTAGCAGAGCTGGTAAAGAACACAACTCAGGCTTCCTCACTTCTAGACACTCCTCCAATCATTACTAGGTTACACTCCCTCCCAGAAAGGGCACGGTGCTTGTGGGGAAGGGTCAAAGCTTTTCTGTCTGCTGGTGAGCAATAAAAAAAAGAAACTGTCATACATTTATTTAAATTATACAGTGAGGTGGACAAGCGTAAAATGAACCCATCTTTCGCCTCCTGTACTTAAAAGGATGAGACAGGACAACAGAAAGTGTTCAAATTCCTGTGAACAGGTCAAAGCAGAAATGGGAACCACTCTAATTTGCAAAATAAAATAGGGAAAAAAAAGTAAGTTTCTGGACCTCTACTCATTAGGCAGGAAAACTGTTCTGCAGAGGCAGTTTCCCTCTGGGAAAGAGGAGTGGAGGATGAGAAAGGCAATTGAACTGACGTGAGATTGCTGTGATGACACATGACCCTTTGGCAACTGAGTTCTATGGCATCGTTGCCCAAAGGGTATTGCTATAGAGAGCCAAATACAATGAGGCAGGCAAACACACACGCTAAAAGGAGGGTGAAGGATTATCCCCTGTGATAAGAGGTGTAGGAGTACTTCATTCCAGAGCCATCCTTTCAGCCAATTTATTCAATCAGCTTTAGATATCAAGGTGGCAATTTAATCACTTGTTTAGGAATAAACTGCTGCAGGTCAATCCCCTCAGCCCCCTAAGCAAACTCATTTGTTTGCTTCCTAGATGTTCAACGCTGAAAGGTTATTCATCTGTACAAAGCATGGAAATAACATGCAGGGCACCCTCGGTGCAAAAGTCTAGCCACATGGGAGAAACAAGGCTACTAAGCATCAGCCATAGATTTCTCCTATGCCTCAAAATACCTCTACAGGC